CACCTGATTATATTAACACAAATCTTGCCTTTTTATAATTGAGTGAATCAATTTGATGGTAATATTTAACAATTTATTAATGATGCAAATCAATATGAGCTGTGACATGCAAAATTTTTTTAAGCAGACTATTTATTAATTAAAATTCTTGAAAGCAAATTTTGTGTATAATTATAAATAAAAAAAATTTCATTATCACCTAAAGCCAATTAAATTGATAATTGGATTATCTTGTGGTGTAATATGAATTGTAATGTCACCTCCTGCCATGTTTTCACATGAAAGATATCATTTGAGATACTGGAATATAAACTTTAATAGAAATATTTGATAAATTATCCAAAAGTCCTGCAGGCTTTTCAACCCATGCATGTTTTTGTCCATGTTTTTCATAAAATGCAAAAACTTTTCCCAAACACAAGATATTATTAGAAAATACTAATAAAATCCATTGTTGCATAATGGATGAATATCAGAAATATTTGCAAAGCCAAAGATTGGTTGCTAAAAAAAATAAATAATTAATAAGTCATTATATTACATATAAACTAAAGAAATAGTTTTACCACATTTGCAAATAACTTGTTTAGCACTAATAAATTAGCAAAATGAGGTGAATAATTTTTGACGAAGATTGTAAGAAAGTTTTCATTTTTAACAAGATCTATCACAAATGTAATGTACAAACACTAAATTAAAAATAAATAATATCGGAATTATAGTGTAACTGGTAACCTTTTTTCATAGCCTATGTTCGCGAATCAGTGTGACCGGTGACGAATATAAGGTGGGAGGTGACATTTTTAAATTTTTCGAATCATAGTGTTGGCGGTGACATTCAATAGAGTTTTCTCGGTCCTGTGATTATACTATGAAAGTGACTGTATATGATAAAAATTAATATATAAAAATCAGAACCAAAAGACCCAGTGATTATATAGGAGTTGTGATTGTATAGGATGTGGCTATATAGGGATCTGACTGTATATACACATCTAAACTTGATAAGTCGGATGCAGCAATCAATTGTTTAAAGTTCAAAATTGAGATTTTGCTTTTAGAGATGTTTCTATTTTCCGTACCCCATATATTCACTTGTTAAATAATAATAAATAGTTTTAAAAATTGTCATAATATTGATTTTTCATTTGCCAACTTATAAATTTTATAATAATTAATAAAATAAGTTTTTAGTTTAAATAATAATATGTTTAAAAAAAAACAGACTTTAAGCCCCAAGGCTTAAGTCCGGTCCCAAAATAGGACTGCCAGTACCAGAACAGTCCTGGACCAATTAACATCTAGTAATTTTCTATGTTTGATGATCAACCATTGTGACCAACCCCAAAATCGCATGACTGTCACCAAAAAAAGGATCAACAGTCGATTTTATCGAAGTAGAAAGAAAAAGGTATACAGCGGCTGGATAATTCTTGCATTAATGAAAATATTTTTAAAAAATTTTAAATCTATTGTTTATTATATAATTAATTTTAGAAAGGCAAAATGGCCTCAATATTAAAAAAAAAAGTTGAGAGAATCGTTTCTTGAAATGATTTAATAAATAATAATTTTTTTTTGCAATTTTCTTCCACATTCACTTTAATAATAATAATAATATCACTATTATTATT